CTGGGAGGTTTTCAGGGTTAATGGGAGCTTGGTGTGGCTGTGCTGTCCCTGCCAGCGAGCCACACTGGGTGCTGACCTACATTGGAGGGAGTTACCTGTATAGGACATGACTGGGCAAGTCAGGAAGTCACCCCTCAGCTCTGGTGAGTCTGAATTGGGCTCTGTCAGTGCTGTGCCCCCCTCACCTTCCCCAGTGCACAAAGGCTTTGGGGACAGGTGGTGGTGAGCAGAGGACCATGAGGAGGGCTGGGGAGCCTGGAGAGCATGACCTGAAGGCTGTGGGCTTGTGGAGACTGCCTGAGGGGAAGATTTCAGAGCAAGTGGTGCTGCTTAGAGAGTTAAGGGTGACCAAGCCAACCTCTCTTGGGGTGGTGGGCTGCCAGTCAGAAAAGGGACAGTGACCAGGAGTTGGGTGCAGCTTGTGAGGCTGGGGGAACATTGTGGGGACAGCAGTGTATCCTCAGAACAGGCCACCCAGAGAGGCTGGGGGGTCTCTGGGGATCCCTGCCCTCGGAAACTCACTACTGGGGTCTTGGGCACCTCACACAGGGAGCAGGTGACACTCCAGTCCCTTCCAAACAAGATTTTATGGTTTTAGGTGTGCTGTTGTTGCCTTATGTCAGTGCAGGTTTACTTTCCACTTCCTTACACGAACAGCTGTTTGATGGGGCTGTAACTCCTGCTGTTCCTTCCAAAGCCATTAAACTCCTGCTTATTCCCTCCTCTCCCATTTTTTTTGTTTTACAGCTGGATCATATTGAAGTGAAGTTTGCTTCTGAAGCAGAAGATAAAATCAAAGAAGACTGCTGTCCTGGAAAACCATTTTCTGTGTTCAGAACTGAGGTAAAATCAGAAATTCAGATAGTGGAGGTCTTAAAAACTTAATTTAAAACTTAACAAAACAGACAAAAGTGAATATGCCACTTAAGAACTTCCATCAGACAGGATTGTTCATCATGTATGAATATTTCTAGCTCTTTTAGCAGTAAAAATGTCATTGATTTCCCTAAATATGTCCTAAACCCTTGTTGAACTCTGGGCTGTATTTTAGATTTGGGGCAGTGCTGGCATCCTGCACTGCCGGACAAGTTCTAAAGGGATTTTATCCCCCAGAAGATTTGCGGACAGCAGATGTTTATTTGGTTTAGTTTCATGTTTCCCCTGAGGGATCACAAGCACAGGTTCTCCTTTAAGGTCTGTGTTGTCTCTCACAGCCTGGTGTGTCTGTGTTCCTGGTGAACCCTCAGCCCTCCAATGGCCACTTCTCCACAAAAATGGACATCAGGCAAGGGGACAACAGAGAGACCGTGATCAGGCGCCTGATGAAGATGGACAGAGGAATCAAAGGTAACCACTAGCACAGGTGTACAGCTGACCCACCTGGTGAGACCAACATCTCCAGGAGAGAAGTGGAAGTGAGTGCTGCTGAAGGTTGTGCTGGTGCAATGGGAACAGAGCTGTGTTTTGGTGAAAGATGCAGGGACTGAGGATCAAACCAATCTGAAGCACTGTGAGCTGGGTGTAAAGGGAGATCTGGACCTCACCCTTAAACTTGTCACAGCAGAGGAGTTTTTCCTGAAAACAAGGGAGATGAAACAGGGACTCCCTCTGTCTCTTCCCAGAAGGTGTCAGTGTGCTGTTGGGCACAGGGCTCGAAGGCTGTACTTGCAGGAAGGCTTGGTTGAAGGATCGCAGGCTTCCTAAGGATTTTTCTTGGACTGCTTTAGAGGTCTTTTATTAGTGTGTATTTTAATAGGGACTTGTATTGAATGCAACTCTGACCTTCCTCTTCCTCCCAGTCTCTGCAGCTCATTCCTCAGAAAATGAGAAATAACTCTTTGGTTACTCAGAGCTGTCCTGAGCCAGATAAGGAAAATTCAGTGCTTGGAGTGTGGTATTGGGAGCTGGTATTTGTGTGGGTTTTCCCCATTTCTGCTGGTGATTTGCTGTGTAACCACTGAGGGACATCATTGTATTGGTGTAAACCTTAACATGACTGTTACTCCAAATAGAATGTGTTTCCTTGTAGCAGGTGTGGAAGTCCCAAAGGGTAAGCATTGCTCTGGCTGACTTGTGTGCAGCTCCCATGGCCTGACCAGCCCCTCTCTCTCTGCAGATCTCTCTAAAGTGAAGCTGATGAGGTTTGATGATCCTGTGCTTGGGCCCCGCCGTGTTCCAGTCCTTGGCAAAGAGGAAGTAGGGAAAACTCCAATCCTGGAACAAGCCATCTTCCACATTGACCTGGCTCAGAGGCACGTCCGCGTCACCGAGAACGGCCTGACCAGGGACATTGGGGACACAATTGTTTACCTGGTTCACTGAACTGGCACGTACCTGGCAGTGAGGAAGGCTCATGGAGGGACTTTGAAGCATCTGTAATAAACAAAGAATTTGTTCTATTAAAAAAAAGCCCACCCCAACCAACCTGAGTTCATGTGTGAGTTCCCCCTGCTCTTTTAAACAGGGATTTAATGAAATTATTTTCCTCTGAACCTTTTTGGCTTCTCTTGAAACAGTTACCCTGAATGTTAATGTGGAGACTCTTCTTTCCAGCTTTGGGCAGGGTGTTCAGAAACAAATGCCTTTGTGGGATTCCACTCCTTCCTCAGGGGACACGTGCTGGTTCCAAGCTGGATTTGGCTCCATCCAAGCCCCATTCCACTGAAGGCTTTAACTGGAGAGCCTGCTGCTGCCTGGAGGGATGTGGGGAGGAGGGGTGATGGCAGGTGGGACCTGGTGTGACACAGGGTGCAGAGTGTGGTGATGTCACTTGTGCCAGGCTGGAAGTCCAGCTGGGAGGATGAATGTCTAAGGTCCTATCACTGTTTATTCCCATCCCTGTTTATTCTGTCCTGGGTAATGCCTGAGGATGGCACTTCTTTTCTTATCTGGTCTCAAGTACAGAGCAGAGTGAGGAGCCCCATCCTTGGTTAACACTGTAAGTAGTCTGGTACATAAAAAGATAAATCTGTGTAGAAGCCATACAGCTGGTGAGAGAGGAATGCTCTCTGTTGCATATCACCCTGTAAAATGTCTCTCTGCAGAGAGCCTTGGGCAGGAATTCCTTGCTCAGGAATTCAGTTCAGAGCAGTTTATTAATCCCTGCAGGCTCTACAGACAGAAGAGAGAATTATTGACTCTGTGGCACCAGTGGAGCATCCAGAACCTGCGTTTTGTTTAAAACAGCAGCAGTTACTGCTCAGCAGAGCCTTACTGAGTCAGAGGGATTGTGTGACCTTGGGGAATTGTTTTCCACTGAAGTGGGGAGCAGCAACATCACCACCCAGAGCTGCCCCTGCACATGGGCTGCTGGGCCGGGGACACAGCTTTGGAATGGTCTTTGTTAACCTTTGTTTGCACTTCCAAGGATCCCTAGTTGGCTCCTGGACTGTCTGAGTGGCAGTGGCAAATCTTGGTGCTATGGCAGAGCTGGGCTTTGGTTCCATGTGGTTACTATGATTGATCTGGGGGTGTCTCAGCCTCCCCTTTTCCCCCATCCTGTCCCGTGGTCAGTGCTCTGGGGTGCTGCCCAGCACCCAACAAAACCTCTCACCCTGGAAAAATCCGTACTAGTTGCAAAAAGGTAGCTCTGGGCAGGGGTCATGTTCCTTTCCTCCAGGTTTCCTTTTTGTCTTTCACAACGTGAGGAGGAGAAAATCAGCTGACTTGTGTTGAGGCCCTGAGTTGGATTCCAAGGCAGATAGTTCTGCAGGTTTTGTTCTGATGTGGCTGAGCACTGGGGTGCTGGTGGGATGGTGGGAGGTTGGTTGTGCTGCCTGGCCAAGCACAGGGGAGACATCCCAGGCAGGGCAGGGGCTGGACTGAGCTACCCCAGAGCAGGGACCTTCACTGGATTGGGCCCATGAGCTCCCTGGGGTACTGGAATGATCTGGTGTGATGTGCAGGATGGGAAGCAGTAGCTGATCCTTGGTTGTGCCATGTGTGAACCCTCCTTGCTGCTCCCAGGCTCGGTGACACTGGGCAGTGCTTCCAGCTCCTGGCCACTTGCTGCTGCCCTGGCCTGAGGAGCTGCCCTGCACTGAGGCTGTCCTGGTTCAAACCTGCCAGGGGGGGAGCCTGAGTCATGGTTCCTTTCATCCATCCCTTTCTTCTCCCTCACCACCCAACACACCTGGTTTTTAAAACTAAAGTGCAGGAGTATTTTACAATAGTCCCTGCCTCTGCTGCTGCTCCCCTTCAGAAAGTTAAACTTGGATGCAGCTCCCAGTACCCCTGGTGAGTTAAACCTGGACACAACGCCCAGATCTCATACCACAGCAGTTTTCTGACCCAGTGGTGGCTTTGGGAGCGTGAGCCTAAATTGCCACCTCTAGCTGGGACTTGTGAGCTGAAAATTTCGTGCAGATTTATTTGCTGCTGTTGGGAGGGCAGCTGTGACCCTCTCATTCTTCATCTGAGGTGCTGATAGCACAGGGGGGGCCACGGGGCATCACCCAGGGCTGGGACTGGAAATAGCACCCAGGGCCCCACCCCTGCACCCCGGCTGTCCCTGCCCCCATGGACTCACTTCTACAACAGAGTGAAGTGCTGTGCTCTCCTCTTGGCCAGGGGTTTCCAAGCACTTTGAAAAGAAAGAGGCAAGAAATGCTAAATATCATCATCCTGTTTACTTGTCGGTTCCTGATGGGGGCAAAGAGCCTCAAAAGTAGCATTGGGAGCTTGAGCTGGAACTTGGCCATGAGCAGGAGGGCAGAGCCCGGATTCCTGGCCTTGGAATCAGGTAACCCCCCCCTCACCCAGGTAACCCCCCCTTGCCATCTGTTCCCGAGGGTGTGAAACCTGAAATAAGAAAGTGAAAATAAACATTCATGGTTTTTTTTTTTTCATGCAAAAAGTTTTAATGGTGTCACAGCAGCCCCCATGGGCTCGTGAGCCTCACGCAGCGGGTGCCCAAAGCTTTCCCAAGCCCCGTGTTTCCCCCAGTTCCCCGCCCTGTTTCTCCCAGTGTCCCCCTGATGCCCTCCCCCAGTTCCCCCCAAGTGGCCCAACTGTGCTGGCAGTGCCCTCATGCTGCCACTCACTGCAGCTGCCACGGCTTCCAGTGCATGAGGGGCCATAACCCAGTTGGCCCCAATTAATTTAATTACCTACAGGCTACAGAGGTAAACATTAGTGCTATAAACTTAGATGAATAAACTTCTCAAAACTTAAAATATCTTTAAACCTTTGCTTTTCGTTACAGAAATACAAAATAAATAGCTTGAGGATTAATACAAAACAGGAAACTAATATTTTCTTGTTTATTGACTTTTCTCCCAAATAGTACCTTAAGTTGAAAAAAATCTTTTTAAAAAATGAACTTCATGGAAAAAGTATTCAGCATCCCTGAATTTATACAAGTGTTTCTGAACAATAAACTAAATGTATTTATTCCTTCTACCCATCACCAACTAAGCAAAGGTTATATATCCTACTATTTCTAAGTTATACATGTAAAAATAGTAATTTCTGTTTTCTCACTGATAGTCACCTGGTTGTAACATTTCATTGGAGCATTCCCTGGGCTCAGTGCAGAAAGAACTCAGTGAAATTCCCTGCTTGGTCACACAGGGGATCAGGGAAGCTCCTTTTGTTGACCCCTTCTGCCTTTAAAACATATTTTGGTTGGAACTTCGGTATAAATAGATCTTTTTCTCCTTTTGTTACCCCTGCAGTCCTCACCAGCCTGACACTGCGGTCTCTGATCCATCATTGCTTCCCACTGGGAACAGGTATGAAGGGATCAGCCTGTGGAGCTCCCATGGACCTCAGTGGTAAGTCCCCATCACTTCATGGACAGTTTGGGGTTCTAAACACTGATTTCACGAATATTTGGAAATGTTACTTTGTAAAAGGGGCAGGTACTGAGGCTTATGACAAGAAACCTGAAAACCTGAAGTCTTGAGCTGTGATTGCACTTCAAACACATCGTTGCACAAATGAACTGCAATAACTGCTGGGCAGGGAGTGAACAGGAGAGTGGTGTGCAGCGATGCTGCAGCCAGTCCAGTTCTGCAGAATTCCTTGCAGAATTCCCTCCTGAGACTAACATCATCCTTGTGGCACCTTTCCTGTGGCAGGTGGAGGGTGAGTCCCCTCTGGGCCCAACACTCCAGCCCCAGGATGGACTGGAAAGGGGGCTCCTCTGCATCCTCCCGTGTCTGAGACAAGGTGTTTGTGCCCAGAGCAGGGAGGCCCTCTCCACGTGGAAGGTGTGGGGAGAATTAGTGAATGCTTTGTTTTCTTACTTCTGCTGCCTCTGCTCATGATTTATCAGGAAGCAGGACTGCAGCCCAGGCTCGGGGGCAGGTTGTGTGCTAAAGCACTCCCAGGGTTCTGCCAGGCTGGGCAGGCAATTAAAGCAGCTGATGAATTATCTGATTTGGGCTCTAATTCATTAACTAATCATAAGGAATGAGCAGATAGAAAATAAACCCAATTGAAGAAGTTGGAGAGGTTCATTAATGGTCCCTCTGTCCCTGTGTGCTGCTTTATGCTTTTCCCAGAGCTCCATTCCTGAGCTGTGCTGATGGACACGGTGCTTGGGGTGTTTGGAGCCCGGCTCAGGCTGTCTGGGTTGGCAGAGAATGGTGTATTTTCATTATAGAAATACATCTTGCCTTTCTTATGCTGTTTCCTTGGTGCTCTGTGCTCCCTGTGATGGTCTGTGGCAGCACAGGAGGCTGCAGGCCTGGAGGGTCTGCAGGGCTGGGGATGGGACTGGTCCCTCTGTACCACTGGGAGCACAGAGGAATGACATCCAGGGGGGAAAGAGGGCCCTCCTGCCAATATGGGAAGGACAAAACAGGGTCCCAATGCTGATGTCTGACCTCTCTTCACTGAGGAAACAGGCTGAAGAGAGTCTGGAGGGTGGGAAGGCAGAAGGGAAGTTAAATATATATATATAAAGAACAGAAACCCTTGAAGAGCTTGCCCACCTCCATGAGAAGCTGCCACCCTCCTGCCAGCATGTGATGCCTCCCTTTCCTTTGCTACACTATTAAAAAAAATTTGGATGACAGCAGCCTGAAGGCCCAGAGTTTGGAGCAGATCCTCAGGGAAGATGCAGTGTACTTCAGGTTGCAGTCCAGAGCTGAAACAAAAAATGTGAAGTTTGCTGATATGCCGGGAACCCAGCGTGGTGATTCTGGTTGCAGAGTTAAGGGGGATGGGGTGATTCTTTCAGAACAGATGGTTTTGGCCCAGAGCACTTGGGGAATTGCTCCTTGACAGTTGATGCCTTTCCCAGTGTGACTGGTTTCTCCACATGGATTAGGACCAGTTGTTGGGCACTGCCTCACTTGGGGATCATGACAGTTTAGCTCTGGATTAGCTCAGCAGGCTCTGCTTTAGCCTGGGCTTTTGGAAGAAAGAGGTCTGAGTTCTTGTCCCTCTTTCTTGGAATGTTCCTTGGTGAAGTGACACAGTCCAGGAGCTCCCTCCTGGGGAGGAGGTGAGGAGGAGGTGCTGCTGGGGAGGAGGTGAGGAGAACTTGGCAGTTCTGCTCAGTGGGCTGTGGCATGAAACCCGTGGGCAGGGCTGTCTGTGGGGACAAGAGGCTTATTAGGACCTTTAGCTTTAAAGTACGTCTTGTTTTTAGTTCTGTCTCCCTACATATATTGAACATATTTAGGGCACTTATCACCATAGCATCACAGCTCTGAAATATCCTGCGTGTGAAACACAGGCATCCATCCCAAAATAGCTGCCTGCTCTTTTACCAAAGCACCAATATCGAGTGGAATTCTGTTTATTTCTGAGTATGCCTGGGATACGTGGACGTGTCTCGGTGATAGAGCCAGCTGCTTTCTGGTTCAGCTTTAAAGGGATTAGAGTAGTCTTCGGCAGAGGACCAGCTTGTCTCCCCTGAGGTGGCATTGCTGAGTTGTGCTCACCTTCCTGTTTGTGGCTGGTGCCACCTTTTATACCTGGGCGCACGACATGTTTTCATCTTGTCAGGGTGTTTCTGCAGGAGCTGAAATACTGACAGAGAGCACAAGGTGAGAACTTATCTGTGCCGTGGTGGTTGTTGTGCCCCTGAAAATCCCCACAGGCAGGCCCAGCTTCCTGTTCCACAGAGAAAGTCTGGAAGAGTGAAGGACCAGGGGCTGTGGCCCAGTGACTGATTTTATCCGTTCCCTTCGCTTAGTTCCAGGAGAAATTGTCCTTCTCTGAGGTCCATGCCAGGGCCTCAGAGAGTTTCCATTGACCAGTGGAGTTCCTTCCCTGGGTCTGTATGCAGGTAACTGAGGATGGGATTTCATGGCAGTTTTGGAGGGAGCACAGCTCCCACTGTCAGGAGAGGTGGTGGGTGGTGCCTGCAGCTGGGGTGGGAACTGCTGGTGGATAAACCAGCAATGGAAACAAAGTACGAAACCCAAAATCTGTTGTGCAGAGGTTTTCTGAAGAGCAGGCACAGCTGTGAGCCAGCACCACTCTCTGATTCTGCTGGCTTTCCTGGGATTCACAGGAAGATGCTTGGAAACTGGAGCTGGTGCTGCCATGGCAGAGGGTGATCTGGGGCACAGGGAATTCTGCTGAATTCTGCTTTCTGTTACATAGATGATGTTTCATGCACCTGAATGTAGAGTGAAACCCATGAATCCCACTTAAGATATTTACAACAGCCACATCTCAGTGAGTGGGCAGTGGGAAGGGGTTGGAGGGAGCTCATGGGGAGGAGGTAGCTGACAGAGGTGATCAGAGGGAAACCAAGCAATGAGGAGAAGCAAGATTCAGTGCCCTGACTGCAGAGCTTGGGTGACTGCAGTGATGGCACAGCCCTTCCCATTGTCTTTTTCCTCTCCAAATCACCTTTTAGACTGTTCTGAGTTAAAATTCCTGGGCTAAAACCAAAGAGAAAGGCAAGCAAGCAACTACCCTAACAAAAAATCTAAGTGACACCCCCCCCCCCCCCCCCCAAAGGCAGCGTAAATCGTCAGCCAGGAGCTGATTGACTCTGATTTATGGTTTCTTTATCCTGAGACAGGCAGGTAATGACCCGCTGTTAGATTTCTGTGGGCTTCCTGCAGCCCTGAGAAGATCAAAACAAGTGTAACTCTCTCTGATACCCGCACAGGCTTCCCTCCCCTCCCGCCGATCCTGCGGTGCCGTACAGGCAGCGACACCGGGGAACGTCAGTCCTCGAGCCCCATCTCCCGGCTCTTGGGCATCCCTGGGGCAGGGGGGCTCCCTCGGGGGCTCCCACAGCTCTGGAGGCCTCAGGCTCTCAGGTCCCGAGGGTGCCGGTGGTGCGGGGACACGGGAGCACCGTCCCCTCGCGCAGACGGGGAGCAGTGGAGGCTGTGCGGGGTCCGGGGTCCTGCGCGGGAGGGAGAGGAGCAGGTGCGGGGAGGAGGCAGGCGGGGGTTACCCGGTCAGTTTGCAGAGATGCTGCTGTAGCTCTTCTTGACGGGGAAGGTCAGCTGCCCCGACAGGTCCAGCGACAGCGCCTTGGGGTGCAGTGCCCGGCGGGGGTGCAGGGGGCTGGAGCCGAGCCGGGGCGAGTAGAGCACCAGCAGCTCGGGGCCCAGGCCGGCTTCGGGCAGCAGCACCTCGGGCTCCGTCCTGGCGCGCTGCAGGCGCGGCGAGGGCTGCAGGCTGTGCCGCTTGGGCGGCGGAGGGCTGTGGTTCTGGAACCGCACCGTCTTCACTTGCTGCAGCGAGAAGAGGACCAGGGTCAGGTGAGAACAGCAGCCCCCCCGCCCGCCGCCCCTCTGTGCCCAGCCCTGCAGAACCAAGGGGGATGTGCCGAGGGGGCGGCTGGATCCTTCCTGGGGCACTGGATGCCTGCGGAGAAGCCCAGGGGAATGTGCAGCCGATGGCAGGTGGAAGGGAGACCCAGGGACCAGCACGGGAGTGCTGGTGGCTACTGGAGACCAAGGAGAGTCAGTCCTGAGAGCCATCGACTGAGTTATCGGGAGGGAAGGAGCAGGAGGAAGCACTGCACCGGGAGGGTGGGCAGCCTGTCCTGCCCTCAAGAGACCTGCGGGTTCTCTCAGCTGATGCTGTACTGCCTGGGAGCTCTGAGGCTGCCTGGGCTTGTGGAGTGATTTGGGCACCTCTTTGGGTATCATGGGAAGAGGAAGCTTCACTAGTGCAATTTACAAAATGATTTCACTTTTATGAAATTTCTCTCTGGCTGCCAGAGGGGAAAGAAATTCCCATTCCAAATAGCTCAGCCCAACCGACGTGAGGGAGATGGGGCAGCTCTGCAAAGCTCTGCCTGACACAAGACCTGACACCAGGTCTGTGGCATTTCCCCATTCCCTCCCAAACTCTTGGAGACTTTGATAGGATTCTTTTCTGATTTAAGACCTCAGAAAGGTCTCAATATTTGCTTGTGACTGAACTTGGTGACAGGGACAAAGCCCCTGCCTTCCTGTAGGGCTTAATCTGGATGGCAGTGTCAGCAACACAGATACCTGATTTCTGAATGCAGGTGCCAATCCCAGTGATTTCTACTGGAAGAAAACCTGGTGAGGATGGAGCAAAGCCCTCGGGGGATTTGGCCCTGGTCAGTATTGGCTGACACTGCTGGTTCCAAGGGGAGGGGGGGACCCTCTGGAGCACGAGGAAGCACTGGCTGTACCTTCTCGGCGCTGTTGCGGCAGGTCTCTGGTTTCACCAGGATGGACGGCGGGGCTGACGCAGGCGGCTTTGGAGCTGCCTCACTCTTCACTGGAGGGTCTTTGACATCCAGGATCACTGAGCTGCACACGGAGGGGGTTCGACTCTCCCCTCCCCTGACCACAAGCGCCGGTGAAGCCTCGTGGGAGAAGTTTGGCCTCGTTGCTTCATCCATGCCGGCTCCAGGAGGGACGCTGTGTGACGGGGAGCCGATGTGTGGGTAAATCTGGAACTGCTGAGGTCGCCCCGCAGCCGCGGAAGGACGCCTGAGGGAGCCCGTGATCTGCACGGGGGTCCCTGCTTGCCCCGGCCTCTGCAGGGATCCATCTGGGGAGCAAGGAGCGATGGATAAAGAAAGTCAGCAGAAATCCAAAATGACACAGAGAGAGCAAAGGGGCAGAGTGAGCAGTGGTCACAGCCCTGCACGAACAGCCATGTTCACAGGATGCTGTGGGGCCGTAGCTCCCAGGGATTGCCACGTGCCCTCCCCCAGGCACCGGGACTAGCAGGCAGCAATTCGACCAATTTCGAGTCTAAAACCACAGACAGTGTCCCCTGCCAGGGCACTGCCTGCCTCCAGCAATACTGCCAGTGCTAGGAATGCACCACTTGGTTCCTCACACACTCCTGGAAATGTATTTTAAAACAGTGTGCATGGGCTGACGATAAATCTTGCAGCCTCCTTGGAAAGGATATAACCACTGAGCTCTGCATAAACCTTTGCAAGGAGTTTTTCCAGGGTGAGGCAAACACCCTGGAACTCCCGAAGCAGCCAGAGTGGGGCCAAGCAGGGGTGTGGAGCCACGAACCGCAGCAGCTGGTGTGGTTTTGGGGAAATGTGTCCGCTCTCCCTCCCGGAGCCCCCCCAATCACTTACTCTTCCTGGCGCTGCCGCGGCCACGCCGCAGCGGTGCCGGTCCCACCGTGCTCCTCCCCGGAGAGGGGATAGGGATGGGCAGCAGCACCGGCTTCAGGGCTCTGCTTTGCCTCGGGCCATTTTCGGAGATGCTCCCTTGGGAGGAGAGCGAGGAGGTCGACAGTGTCCATGAAGTGTACAGAGAAGGCATTTTTGAGTCGGTGAGACTAGATTTCCTGTTGGAAAAGGAAAAGAAGGGTGAGAGCTGCTGGGTGCCATCCTGCCTGGTGAGGGACCACCCTCTTCCCTCTCCAAGTGTTTTTGTTTCATGTAAGAAAAAGCAGACCTGAAGAGGGGAGCCACATAGTTGCTGGGGAAGACGCCGACTCTGCCCGTGACGAGAGACATTCCTCTTAACCAGCCATCATGGTCCTTCCCAAAGACACGGACCCCTTCTCCCTTCTGCAGCTCCAGCTCATCTGGTCCATGAGGCACATAGGAGTGGAGAGCCACACACCTGGGGAAAGAGGACGTAAGGGAATGCAGAACTGCCCCCGTGCAGGGTGGCTGGAGCATCCTGGAGCTCTGGGGTCTGACTGACCCATGTGTAACAGCAGTAGAAGAAGATAGTGTATATTTCAAAACTGTCTCCTATTTGTTCTTTAAAGAACTTTATTTTGTCTCCAGTGTAACACACTTAATTGCACTGTTGTTTTTTTTCAAAGGGAATGTGATCTGCTCCCAAGTATCAATGAGTTACAGCCAGATACAGCAATTACTGGGTGTTATTTACAAAATAGAAACAACAGACTAGTTGTCTGGACAGTAAGGGGCTATCCCAGAACCTGCAGGGCCAGTCTGTGTGAGGGGCTGCTCCCCTGGGGACTGGCACAGCCCAGGTGGGTCAGGGTGTTCTCATTCTGCAGTGGCTCATTGCTGTACAGGAGCCACCTCAAAGGCAGGGCCTGCAGGTGCTGGTCTGATACTGCAGGGTTGGAAAGGAGCTGCAAACCAGGCAGCTGGTGGGACCCTCTAATACCTTCCTCATTCTGCAAATTATTTTAATGTCTTAGGAGTTTTCCTGTCCTTGGCATTAAGTGTGTGCAGGAATCTTGGCTGACCTACGATGGTGTGTGTAGGTGCCCGAGCTGTGGGTGCTGCTTGTGGGCACCAATGTTCCCACAGCCTGGCTTGGCACTGTGGGTGCTGAGTGCTGGGTAAACAGTGTGTTGTGATGCTGTTTTTATTTTAGGTCCATTACTACAGCGCCAGGCTGGTAAATCTTGTCTTGAGGAAAACAAATCATCACAGCGTGTTGTCCACAAATTTTAACTCTGGGAAAGTTTTCAAAAATTGGATCGTTCAAAACACCAATGGCCATGAAGGTTTTAAAATAAATAACTAGAGGTACTTGAGGAGTGATTAGTTTCTTCACTCTTAAAAAAATTTAAAGTGTATTGTTGACAAACAGGCAGAACTGTTTGTCCATAAATACTGCAGTGAAGGAGTAAGAGGCAGGGATGGTTTGCCTGCTGGGAATAGAACAACTCAGATGTGACAACAGGTCTCTGCCACCCCCTGCTAAGACCAGCCAGGTATGTTCCTAGGTGGATCTGCATTTGGATCTGAGCTGTGCTCCAGTCTGCCTGCACCTCCTGGCTGGCAGGAGCAAGCTGAGGGAGAAGGTACAGGGAACTACAACCCCCTTCCCCCAGAAGTATTTCAGCTTCCTTACGTACAGGTAAGCTGGCACGTGGTGCTGCAGGTGGGGAAGGGTGATGATGGCTTCTGAGGGCCCCAGAGGTCCTGGTGCAGGGTAGTAAGAGGTGCTGACCTATGGGAGAAAAAAATCAAAGAAAACAAGGTATTAATCTGGTTATCGGCTTCTTTTAAGACACTGGAGGAGCAACTAAAAACATCTGACTGGCTTCACCCAACCTTCAAAGAAATCATCAAAGACGTTTCAAGAAATAGAAGTTTGCAGCATTTGACTTAAAAAAAGACCAGGCAGTGAGAGGAAGATAAAGAATCCCAGAATCACTGGGGTTAGAAAAGACCTCCAAGATCATCGAGTCCAACCTCTGACTGATCCCTACCTTGTCAACCAGACCAGAGCACTGAATGACACATCCAGTCATTTCTTGAACACCTTCAGGGATGGTGAATCCACCACCTCCCTGGGCAGGCCATTCCAATGCCTCACAACCCTTTCAGTGAAAAAATTCCTCCTGATGTCCAACCTGAACCCTCCTGGGGACAGCTTGAGGCCATTTCCTCTTGTGCTGTCACTATTTGCCTGACAGAAGAGCCCAATCCCCACCTGGCTACAACCTCCTTTCAGGCAGTTGTAGAGAGTAATAAGGACTCCTTTTCCCCAGGGTGAGCCCCCCCCAGCTCCCTCAGCTGCTTGATTCATGGTCCTTCCACATGAAGACACTTGCCAAGGCACAGCTCGGTTGGACTGATGGTGCTCACCCCATCCTTTAAGAACAGAGCCTGTTGGGGCAGAAAAGCTGGGGTGGGGGGAGGCTCTGGAAGCAGTGATGGAACAGGATAGCCTTAACCCAACAGCCGTGACTTCCAAGAGTCATGGGTAAGCCCTAAACCCGTATCTATTGGTAATCCCATAGATGGGAGATCCACTTGAGAGGGGAGACCCTCCTTCCCCTCTCCTTGCATTTGGTATTCTCTCATCCCTCTTTGCTTGGCTCTGAGCAAGACGAGTGCCTTTGATCCGTTCATGGTCTCTGGTGCTGCTTCAGGAACTAAAAGGTGTTTGGGAAAATGGCATTTCAAGCCCAGGCTTTGAACCAGGAGGAGACCATTGCATCTGCCAGGTGAGGACTGGTGTGATCACTGCCATTTCACTTGTTTATTTAGCTCCAGCTGGAAGTATTGAACCCTAAAGTAATACAGTCCTTGCCCCAGTGATCTTTAATGACTATGATTAAAGCCATTTACCACGTCTGTGGTGTCCCAGCAGCCCCACAGGTCTGTGTGCAGGGCGGGCAGGGAGCAGCCGTCGGCCACATGGGCAGAGACCCCTCGCTCAGGGTTGTGTGTGGCTGGGGTGGGCCTTTCCCCACTGTCATTCTGCATCTGCAGAGTGGTACCAGCCACCATAATGTCCTCTCTGGGCTCTCATAGGATCTTTGGTGTTCCAGGTAGGAACTGCAGTCCCGTTTGTGTTACTGAGGTAACTGTACCTCACACGTGCTGTGCCAGAGCTGCTGTCACCTGCCAAGGGTCCCTGTCATGCTGGTGAGGCCATGGGCAGTGTGCTGGGCTGTTCCCATGCCCTGTCCCCCCTTGTCTTGAAGTTTGGGTGACACCCCCACACTGAGGTGGTCTCTGAGGTGAGGTGTGAGCTGTTGGGGGTCCTCTACCTGGCATCCTGCTGAGGGTCTGGAGAGCACCCCCAAACCAGAACCTGCCTGTGGGCTGTTTCCATTCTTTTTCTGAGTTTGGTTTTGTGTTCCTTGTGCTCACTGGGCTGTGCAGGGAGCCCAGGAAGGTCCCAGCTACTGAACCTGTGGGTCTGTGCCAACCAGGGCCACTCCAACTCGTCCCTTTGGCTTCTGCCTTTGCTCTTCTGGTTGCCAGTGGTGCTGGCAGCACAGCAGCCCCTCGGGGTGGGGGCGATGAGGGAGCACTCGCTGCTGCTCCAGCCTCTCCACACAGGAGACGCTGCTGTGTGGAGGAAGGATGGCAGTGGGCAGCCTGGCATCCTTGGGATGCTCTTCTGCTGAGCTGTCCCTTCTGCAGCACAAAACGTGCCCTGGGGTGAACTGCTGCCGGCAACAGCTCATTCCCGTTTGGAATCCATCGCTGTGCACGCTGGAAGGTGACAGCCATGGTGCTGGCGTGTCTGTGCTGGGCCATGGCTGTGCCATGACTGTGCTGTGGCTGTGCCAAGCTGTGCCACAACTGTGCTGTGCTGTGTGGTGGCAGGAGTGTGGCTGCTGTCAGGAGGAACAGAGCTCCCAGCAAGGCAGGGTGGCGGCAGCAATGTCCCGGGAAGCTCAGAGCAGTGGAACATCTCTGGGCTGGGATGTGGCTGCCTGTCGTGCTCTCCAGCAATGACCACAGGCTCTATAATGATGCAAACTGGGGCTTTAATCTCGTGTTCATTTCAAATCTAATTTCTAGTGGTCAAATCTGTAACGTGGTGCTGGAGCACTGGCTAGGCAAGGACCTAGAGAAAAAGAAAAGTGACTCACCAGCTCTGGTGCTCTCCAGTAAATTAAGTTAATTAAAACACCCCAGCAATTCCAGCTTCTGTCTCGGACCTGGAGTGGCAGGTCAGCTTCAAAACATCTCTGCATTCCTCATTTGCTAGTCCAGGCAGGGTCAGACCAGTTGTGTTCATAAAGTGGATTGGAAACTATAATTCTACTTTAATAATTATCATAATCAAAACGTTTGAAATTTTGGGATTCAGAGTTTGTTTTTCCTGCATTGGAGAAAAATTACAGCCTTTTATGGGTATTCCTGATGGAACTGTGTTGAAGTGTCCTCTTTTGGCTGGAAAGTCCCACGTTTTTCATCTCTGTGTTCCCCTCTGCCTGGGAGCAGCTGTCCTTTAGCCTCCTCAAAGCTGCCTTTGGGTTTGCAACAGAGAGGAAAAAAGACTGGATGAAATATTTTCTAGCCATGTATAACTGGTTTCAGCATTCGCTTTTGCTGATCTCCTGCAAGTACCTTGCGAGCCCTTGTAAGTACAAAGGGTTTAACTCCCTGCCTCTCCTGAAATCCCTCTCTTACTCCATCTCCCGTTCTAGTGTGTCATCATCGTGATTCCCAGCACTGCTGACACAGGCAAGTCCCTGCCGAGAGTGTCCATGCACTGCCTTGTGGGGAGGGAGGCTTTCCTCATCTCATCAGGGGGCCATGGGAGCTCTCAGTGCTCTGCTGGATGTTGGGTCCTGCAGGTTCCACATCATTCAGTGCACAGAAAAGCGAAGGGCAGCTGTGGGGTCTATCAGCTCCCTTCACCGAGCGGCAAAGGGGAGCAGCAGCTCCCAGACAGACGTTCCCTGGCCCAGGGAGCGCCAGGTCCAGGGAATAAGCTCAGTTGTGACTAGGAAGAGATTCCCGTGGTGGAGCGGGCGGGCGCCCCGCTGCCCTCACCCCGCAGCCGCTTGCGCAACAGGCACATGCACAGACACGGCGGCCACAGCCCTGCAAACTGGTTCTGGCTCCGTCTGAGCCCGGCTTGGCACCGCCAAGGGGAAGGAAGAGCTGGAGGAGGAAGGCTGGGGCAGTGCCGGTTATTCCCTTTTATGGGCTGAAAGGAGTCCGACCGCTCGGTGGTGGTGGGAGTGCCAGGCAGGCAGGTGGTGCTGTGGAGAGCCCGACAACCTCCCAGCGCAGCATCTCCCGCTTCGCTTCTCCAGCCGTGCGCTGTCGCTGGCTGTGCCCGGGTGCAGCCTCCTGTCCCCTCGTCCTCTCAGGTACCCTCACAGTGCCCACCTGAACTTGCAAAGGAATCTCAGCTTTGCAGCTCAGTCATTGCAGGCCAAATCCAGAGGTGGAAAGAGAAAGCTGCATCCTGTGCAGCCTCAGGAACAGCACAGATCCCCCCCTCCCCGCCGCAGACCTCTGGGAGCAACACTGCAGCTTGGAAACAAGGAAATCCCAACCCTTCTAAGGCCGAACCGTAAATGTTCCCTTTCTTGCTTCTGCTGTTGGCAGTAGTTCAAACATTTTGGGTAAGATTCCATTGGGGGTGTGAGACATGATACTGTTTCAATTGAGTTATGGAACTCTGTAAGGCTTCATTTCCCTTCCACAACCCAGGATCTCACATGCTGGCTCTTTGCAGGCTGGTGCTCAGTACAGAATGCCTGCTGGGTGTTATTGTCCAGATGTGAACTGCCAGGGGCTGAGTGATTGCTTTCTAAAATGTTGGAAGAGCCTTGATTATGAAAGATGTCACATAAATCTAAAGCAACCCCTTTTTCTCCCGTTTCAGATGATCTGTGAAGATTCTGGACTCAGATCTTTAGTCAGAGCGGGAAGAAGGAATGAGACTCTTCTGCCTTCTAAAATAAAGAGTGGATACAGTCCAAAAGGTTGGTCTATGTTTATGTCTCAGTCCCCAGATCAGGATAGTCCCAGCTTTAGGATGCAGACTGGCATTGCCACTGCCTTACCTGGACAGGGGTGCTGTAGGGGAACTCGGCTTTCTCGCTGTTCTGGGTGGCCACGGTGGGGTTGCTGGAGCTGATGAGCACAGGGGAGCTGATCTCCAGGGCTGGGCGCTCGGCAGGCGCGTGGACCATCCGGTTGAGGGTGTTGAGGGCTGTGGTGATGGAGAACTGCCGCAGGCTCTTCCTCCTGGAGTCGGGCACCTTGGGGAAAGCCGGCGAATCCGCGCCCTTCGCCTTGGGAGACACCGTTCGCAGGGACGCGCTTTTAAACTGAGGGGACCAGTGGGTTTTGGAGGTCTGCAGGAGCTGCCGGGCGGTGGTGTTTGGCTGGGGGAGACAAAGGGAGACGTGATGTGGTTTCAGAAGTTACACCTGGCACAGCCCCCGGACTGCTCTGTTTCCCCTTTCCATTCTGGCAGCAGAGCTGCAGGCAGGGTTCAGGTGACGTTACAGGTGATCTTTAAAACGTTGGGGCTCAGTCATTTTCCTCATCTATCATCAGTGACAAATCCTAGGTGTAAAATTCCTGATGTGAAGCTGACAGCAAAATTAAATTCGTTTAAAAAACTTGTTGCTGAGACAAGGGTTTATTGAGGTTCAGTGCTCCCCCTGATACGTTCCTTGTCCAAGGCTTTGGCTGGTAGAGGTGCAGGGAGAGCTGACTGGTTCTTTCACAGTGCTTAATAACTCTAACTCTGAATTAGAAGGGACATTTAGATACATCTCCCTTTCCCCATCTATGTTGGCACACATGGGTGCATCTTGCAGCAGGACACCCAAGCCCTGCAGCTGAAGGCAGGGCACAGGCTCAGAGAGGCCATCACTGGTGGTGACTTTCCCAGCAGCATTAGATCCACTCAATTCCATCTCCCTCAGCCTGAACATTCATGGCCTGATGCTGCTTCCACTGAAAAAATCCTGGCTTGTTAAGCATTGGGGTTAATGAGGGAGAGGCAAGCCCCGAGTTTGCATATGGGCAGCATTCACACAGTATTTCTTGGAAACTGCTGATCAGGGTGTTAATAGCAAAGGGCATGTGGTGACAGTGTTTTTCACCACGATGGGTGCCAGAGGAATTAATCATGATTTACTGCTGACATTGACGAATTGCAAAACTTGGAGATTCTCACCCACTCGTGGGAGGCAACGTGCTCGACGCCAGGGATGGACAGGGGACTGAGGCAGGAGAGGTGCACATGGCTCCCAGGCTTTGTCATTTTACAGCAGGAGTTGTTTCCACATTTTCCCTCTCCAAACTAAGTTTAAAGCCCACAGTGTGTGCGTATGTACATGTGTGCCATGGCCATCCTGTCATTTCTCTCTGTGATCAAGCTCTAGCCTGAACTGGAAACATTCTTCTGCCTCTCCAAATACCAGGAGATGCGAAAAAAGGGGGCACAAACTGCGTGTCAGAGCCAAGAGAAGCCTCGTGTCTCTCACCAGCAGCCCTACCTTTGCCTTCTCCAGGATTAATTTCTAATTCCTTGGTGGGTCTATGTGTCCCTGACTAACTTGTGTCTGTTAACGCCAGACTTAAATAAGTCATTACTGAAGCTAAAATGATTTCATTAAATGAAAAGACATTTTACAAAATCTATTAGAGCTTCAAATAAGGTGTTTTGCTCATGTCCTCCTATAGAACAGCCACAAAGCAGAGCTTGCTGTAATTATGGGCATTACAAGTATTAATTTTATTTCTAGGAATTGGTGCTGGTGCCATTTACACTCTGCATCTCAAGCTAAGCTGCACAACACAATTAATGTCTAGACCAGTGCTAAAAAAATTCTGTCAGGGAGCGGAGTGGCTGGATGGCCTCCAGAGCTGCAGCACTGGGAGCACTGGGAATGCCGCCTGCGATGCACTGAGCTGGCCCTGGCTGAACTGGGGGGCACCTGCCTCCCTCTCTGGGTACCCCTTGTTCCTCTGTGTGCCTGTGGGGCATTGGGGGGTGTTTAACTGCTGGCAGCAGTGTCTGAGGGGACTTCGGAACCGTCCTGATACCCCAAAGGAGCTCCCAAGGATCTGGGGAGTGGCAGAGCACCGTGCACTGCAGGGGAGCTGTGTCCCGGTGCCGCGGGTGGTACCTTATGGAAGGTCAGGCTGTCCTTGTTTTCCGCCTTGTCCCGGCTCCGCAGGTCGAGGTTGTAGAGGGCCCTGCCGAGGGGCTGGGGCAGGGGCAGGTGCTTGATGACTTGCACAGAGCTGGCTGGGAAAACGCCACTGATCCCGTTGACCTCCCCCAGGTACCAGTTCTCGTCCAGCTGCCGGAGCAGCACGATGATGTCCCCCTTGTTGAACCGCAGCTCCCCGGGGTTGTGCCCACGGTAGGTGTACAGGGCCCTGGCTCGTGGCACCTGGGGGGAGAGAAACAGCCCCTGCAGTTCATCTGACACAGACAGAATTCCCCAAAAGCATTCGTAATTACTGGGAAAAAAATGTAGAGGTCTAAGGCTTAAGCATGCATCTGTTGGGATTAACTACCCACATCCTTTCTTGATGGGTTTTACTAATGAAGACAAGCTCCCAAATACTTATGCTAAGTTTGTATCAAGATGAAAAGCAGGCTGGACTTGTTTAAGAATATTAAGAAACAGTTAAGGCCTTAAACTAGTCTTCCCATGGGATCTGAGTGCCTGCTATGAGGTCTCCTCCTAACAATGTCTATTTTAATGACCCAAGTATTTCTATTTTAGAAGGGCTGGAGCTCGCAGCCATCATCCAACTGACCTGGTGGCTGTCACCTGCAAGGAGAACAGAGCAGAGCAAGGTGAGTGCAGGTTCTGCTCTCACATAGTTCTCTCACCCTTTAACACCTGGGACTGTGGTGTTACTTCAGCCTTTACCAGGGTTACAGTAAGGGGTGGCTGAATGTTATCGTTGCTGCAGTGTAATATGAGAAAGAGGAGATACACCAAAACCAGAAGATGAGAGAACTTTACCATTTCTACTCATCAAAATAAAATTACAAAGTTCCTCTAAAACAGCTGCTGTGCTGAGCCCTGCCTGTACCAGACCACTCTGGAGCTCCCATCCACCCTGCAGCGATGGGTCCCTGGCACAGTGCAGTCTTCAGTCTTAAGGGATAACACAAATACTGAGCCTCTGAGCTGGTGGCACAGATATGTGTGAGCTCTGTGCTGAGAAAAGGGGAAACCAGGATTGTCCCCAGCTCTAGAGCCTTGATAAGTTTTAACCAGAGTTGCTGGTGCCTGGACAGGGACAAGAGGCTTTTCAGCAGCTTCTGTGCTGGTCTCTACAGGTCTGGATTGTCCTTCTCCTTTCTTTAGAGGCTGCCAAGTGCTGTGGCCTGCTGAGTAGGGCCCTGGCCTGCAGTTTCTTCAAGCCATAGTCACCCCATCCCACCGATCTCACAGGAGATGGCACTTCTGTATCAGTGACACTTTCTGGCTTTTCCAGTCTTTTACTGTAGATTTCCCCAAACCCACCTGTGTCAGTGCCCAACGCTCAGGTAGGACTCCTGTAGAGCTCCCTCCCCCTCAGCCACTTTTGAGAGGTCAGGAAGGTGGAAGAGAGAAATTCAACATTAGTTTCCTGAAGTGTGGAAAAGGTCAAATTTCCCATGGAAATTGTTTAGGTTTTGGGAAGAAGACATCTTCCAGCATTCCCAAACACTGATGCTTGGTAGAAAAAAGGAATCAAGAAGAGAAAAATTTCATGTACTGCTTTTACTTCAAAGCCTTTGAAAGGGGAAGCAATTAGTTTAATGTTTAGTTCTAATTAACTCATCTTGCCTGTTAATTTGTGTTCATAGTAAACACATGTGCTCGGCTCAGTGACACTGAGTGGGGAAAGTGAGGCTCAGGCCAGCATTGTTCTCCATCAGATCTGAGCTCCTATGGAAAACAGGGACTGTATCCGTGCCAGGGCCATGGAAACTCCCTGCAAACACACTCCTGGACGTACGTGCTTTCCCATGAGAAAAACAGATCCCGGCGATAGAAGACATGGGTGGGCAGTTCTCCTTCAGAACCACTCAGGGACAGACTTGCTGGTGTTACACAAGGATTAGGAGCACAGACCTTGGGTTTGCCTCAGGAGCGACCAGAAAACAAACAGGGCTCCTGCAAAGTGTGAGAACAGGGCTTGGGAAGGAGCAGCACCAGCGTCCGGGATGCGAGGGAATGGCAAGATACAGCAAAACATTAAAGGCCGCAAGAACGAGTTATGGAAATATATTAAAAATAAGAGAAACTCTGCAATGAAATGCATGCCTGGTGCTAAGTGGGAACAGGGAGCCAACAACGGGGTGCTCAGAGCCTGGAATATTCTTTCTTCAGTAAGCAAAAGGATGAGACAGGAGGGCAGACTGGGATAAATAACCGAAAACCAGGTGGGAGAGGTGTGTTTGTGTCCTGTGGCTGGCTGACAGGACTTGGATGGATGGCTGGATGGTTGGATGGATGGGCTCTTTTTTCCTCTAAGCACACTCACAACCTTCAGTTCTTCACCTCCTCTTTCACTCTTTCCTCCCACTTTTGTGCCCTTTCACATCTCCCAGCCCAAGTCAGATTTTTTCAAAGTCTATAATTTTTGCTATTTTAATTTTTTTTTTTTAATTTTGTTTGGCTGTTCATATACTGAACCAAAAATATCCCAGTGATTTCCCAACTTTATTTAGGATATAAACCAAGCCTTTATCTACCCACAGGGAGCAACTAATGTGGTTTTTACTGTACAGGCCCATCACAAAATAAAGCTGCAAGCTGAAGATTTCAGAAAGATGTGCACCTGGGTCACTGGTTTTTAATATGTTCATAGGAAGCAGGAAAGACAAAGAGGAACACCAGACCCACCCTGTGGCAGCCACAACGCTGGCGCTGGGGTTGGGCAGCAGAACCCCCACGGCCCATCGCTCTCCTGTGGCCGCAGATCTGATCTGATCTGATCCCTGTCTCAGCTTGGGCTGGTTTCTGTCCACTCCTGGGTGTCCCAGATCCTCTCCAAGGCATCTGTTTTGCCTTGTTTAAAGTAGGTTAATTGCAAAGCAGAAACTGAGGTACTAATTAACCTGGCGATAAAGACAAGGAGTGCCTGGAGGTGGCTCGCCCCGGGCTGAGGGCAGAGGGAGAGGCTTTCCTGGGCCAGGACATGGTCCTGGGTGCAGGGGCAGGAGGGAGTTTTGTGGAGTTTTCTCCCATTAGCATGTCCAGTTGCTTTTTGTTAATCCAAGGCAGCATTTCAATTTAGCAGGGTGGTAGTGGCAGCAAAATGCTCAGCCAAATATTGCAGAGGCTGGCTGGTCCCTAGTGTGGGTTTGGTGTCTGTCTGAATATCTCTCTGGGAAAACAGTGGGAGCAGCTCTGTGGAAAACTCAGCTGAAGGTTTCTGATAATTTGTGTAGTTTTGCTGCCCAGTAGCAGAGAGGGAGAAACTAGAGATAAGAAACCCATTTTGTGGGTGGTTGTAACTTTTTTCAACGCTGCCTCATTTTTTCTGGTTTTTCCCCTCTGTTTTTTCCTCCATCACATCTGAGTGGGACAGGACCCTGTCCCTGCCAGGCACAGGAGGTACTTCAGGCCGAGCCCCAGGGAGAGAATGCAGCAGGTAACACCAGGTGTGGAACCAGAACCCCCCCACGGCAGCACTGTCTCTGGGTGAGATGCTTTTCTCTCCTTGGCCACTCCACCAGCAGGGATGGTCATGGCAGATGCACCTCAATGCTTTTCCCCCATTCTCAGTGGATTTGAGGCCAATAAGGGAGAAAAGATTTTATTTTTTTCGCTATTTTTGGCATTTGGCAGCAGGCTGTGCCAGGGCAGCCATCCAATGCCTGAGTCTCCCTCCGCACAAAACAAAGCAGCAGATTAAAAATACGTACGTGTGTGAGGAAGCAACTCAGGGCTTCTCTTTCTTGTGGAGAAATGAACTCTGTAATGATCTGAAAAGAGCTGGTTATAACTCCTTGTGATTGGCAGGAGGGGATTCATGTAAGACCCTGTACTCAGAGCATGGGAATTGACAAAAAGGAGAAGGAGAAGCAGCATGTAAGGCTGGCTGGGGAGGGAGTCACCAGGAGCAAAGCCAGGAGCTCAGAGAAGAGGAGAGGCTGCTGATGGAAGCTGGGAACACCTGTAAACCTTGTCCCAGGCAACTCCCTTTAAAACTACCCCATGGCCCCATGGTGACACCGGCTCTGCTGGAGGAGACTGAGCCACAGTTTGGATACTCCAGGCTAAGGCCATGAATGGATACTTGAGGATACTTTGGATACTCCAGGCTAAGGCCATGAATGTCCCTGCTCTGGGATCCATTCACTCCTGCACCCACTTCCAAGCACAGCTCGGTGAGATACAGCTGGAGACGTTGGATGGGATCCTTCTGTGTCCCAGATGCTCTGACTTCACCACCTTCCCTGACTGTGCGGATGGACATGTAGGATGAGGGGCATGTGAATCCTTGGAACAGCTCATTGCTACGGATGTCCAGGGGTGCTTCCTTCTGATTTACTGCCGTGGCTGACGCAGAATTGGACCCAACCCCTCAAACCTCGGTGGGCACCCTACTGATCCAGCTGTGGGGGCAGACCCATGGGTCTGGGGATGCTGCTGGCAGATGGATCAGGAATGGCCTCAGACAGGCTTGGACCTGCACCTCGGTGTTTCCCCAGCTCTGATTTTCCTAACCACGTGAAGGGAATGCCCTGGAGTGGCTCCTTGCTCTGCTCCATCCTGCCCCTTGAAGGCACTTGAAGGCAGCCCGCTGCCCCAGGCCTGCTCTCTCCTCCCCCTCCAGAGGAATGTCTCTGCAGTAAATCCCCAGGGACTGATCCAGATCTGGGTGATGCCGAAAAGCCAGAGAAAAGGGAGGTCATACTTGTTCCCTTGTTCTTCCCAAGGGCCTCCCGCAGGAGACCCGTCAGCACAAATGTCAGCAAAAATCAGGCAGCACAAATGTCTCACCTGGAGGCAACCAGTGACTCCAGGACAGATCTGAGGGCACAACCCAGGCCACACTCCTGATGGGCTGTGACTTACACACTGAACGTATGGAGATGGGTGTTATCCACACGCTGATGCCAAAGGAAACGGACACGCTGGCTCTTCACAGAGATGATCAATAACATCTCTGTTCGTTCTGATTCCCGAGAGCCACCTCGGCTCCTGCCACTGACTGCCTGCGTCTCCATGGGATGAATGAGTCCCATTCCCTGTTCTGTGTGCTCAGCTAGCAAAGTTCAGGGCTCTGCAGGATCCAGGTGGATGAAAAGAGCTATTTGAATGTAAATTAATTGCCATTACAATTCTGTTTTTCTGCGTTTCGCAGAGGAGATAACTTCAGCCTTGTCACAGAGAACAAAACCTTCAAAAGTGAACTTGTCATTTCAATCTCTTCA